AGTGGTACTAAAAGAGAAGACTCCCAATCTTTAATGTATCTTTTCATTTCTCTCACTGTATGTTGTACAAAAGATAATACTTGTTGTCCTATTGTTCATTAAAAAACAAAAACTAAGTGCTTTATAAACAAAAACTAAGTTACCAGGTTAAGGGTTTTTATCACAGCTAACTAACTATATTAACTAACTGTATTACTCTGATAGCTGTACAGTCATCTCAGTTCACACTGCTCAATACTGAAGGGGTTCCAGTTACAGGTTCTTCTGTCACTAAGCCAGGCTTTCCAATTCATCCATAAAACCTAGTGGTATGGGACTTGGGCAGATCTGTAAAGTGAGTTCCTGTAACAATATCTGACTAAGTACACAACTGCCTACTACTGTTTTCATATAGATATCACAGTGGCACTCACCAATGGTAAAATGATTATATTTATATATTTGTACAGTACTTCATAGGCAACTTTCATATATATCACCTAATCTTCACAACAGGTATTACTGCTGCTGGCAGTATTTTCATCTATGATAAAAATCACAGTGTAGAAAATGAAGAGAGAAAAAAAAATCACAGTGCAGAGTTTTAGTGACTTAGCTGAAGTCTCATTAAAAAATGACAGGACTAATATTTAGGTCTATTGTTGTCAGCTGCTTCTGAGTCAACCCTCAACTACAGGCTTACACATTTCTTTCTATTCTGTGACATAATTTTTCTATGGCTACAAAATGAAGCGTTTACACCTGTAAACTTACCAAGCAGCCAGCAATCTTTGTGCACACCAGCATCAAACTGACTACAGAGAGAAGACTGCTGCAGCACAGCATAGTCCTGTAGGCTGCCTGGCCAATTTGTCTCCACAGTCATTAGCGCCCCCCTGAGGTCACACACCATCAGACAGTTCAAAGAATGCAGACCTTTGCGGTTCACATAGGAGAGGTCTTCAGCATTTGGTGCCTTGATTGCCACATGGATACAGTCAACAACTCCTATGACCCCTGGCATCCCTGCCAACCCATAGAATTCATCCTTCAGAGCCTGCATGGAGGCTTCATCAGCTGGAAAGTGGATGAACTGTGAGGCCCTCTCCACAAGTGCTTCTGTGACATTGGCAACACAACGACTCATAGACGCCTGACTGATTCCAATAGCATCTCCCATGCGAGTCTGGAAGGAACCTGAGGTGTAGAAGCCCAATGCTGCAAGGATCTGTGTCTCTGGGCTAATAGCCCTGGATCGCTGAGTAGGTCTAGAAAGACTAGCCCCCAAGAGCTCTACTAAGTAATAAATGAACTGTCGAGGGAATCCATACATGGACATCAAGTATTCATCGGTCACATCATCCAACTTAAAGCGGTCCAATGTCCGGTGACCTCGGCCATACAGCAAGAGATCACAGTCAAGCACTGTTATTGGAATAGCCATGGTGAACTGGTTGTCTCTCCTTCCCTCTGTTACTTATTCTGAACTCTTCACAATGAAATTGTTGGTGCAAAAACGTATTTTAAAAAGTGTCAGGATTCAACAGCTAATCATGGTTCTGGCATTTATAATCTTCTCTCTGTAAAGGTCAAAAAGGAAAACATTAGAAATCTACCGAAGACTGAAATCAGTGACTCAAAGGCTACAACAGCCCTTTATCTGCAAATTTTCATTCTGTTCAAGCAAAAGGGCTGTACCTGTAACTCTGGCTTTCTCTCCATTAACCCATGATTGTTCGACAGGCTTGCTCTGGTTTGAGAGTTAATGGGCGTTGAATCCCAGTGGCTCATTTAATGCCTGGCATTTCAACTGAGAACAGCAAAAGATTAACAGGAGCGATGGCATAATTAACCACAAGGCAAAAGAGGTCGGCTTCTAACTATACAGGTCACAAAGCAGCTGACTTAAGTCATAACTAACCTGGGCAGGGCTCAGTCGTGAAAAGTTCATTACAGCTCTCTGGCTCCAGCTCCATCTGACATGTACGGAAGGATGTGGGGGATGCTCAAACCAAAGGGGCTAAGAATAGCCATGGTCCAGCTTGGTGGACCTTGACTGCACTATAACAACAGGCTTGCCCTCACCCCCAAGAAATCCAAGTAGTGAGGCTGAGGATTAGGAAGGAAGATCAGATAGGTTAGAAAGAAAGCGCGAAAGATGCGACTCCATCGCTTCTCCGAGGCGTTTTAAAAATGTCTAATCGTGAAAATAGCTTAGAAAGTCTAATTGCGTCGGCCAAAGTCCGTCACCCACCTCTCCGCGGCTGCCTGGCCAGTAGCTGCACTCCTTCACCCAGCCACCCAGCCACCCAGCCCCGATGGATCCTCCTCCGGAACCGGCGACCGCGCACAAGCCGCCACGGCGCTCAGCAGTTGCACCGCCCTTTCTGCGTCAGCGCCAATCCTCCCGCCGCGTCCTCACTGCCGCTGCAGTCGTGACCTGAAGTTCGTTTTCACATATTCCACACACGACTAAAGGGCCTCGCTCTTTTAAAGAGTCACTGATTACGCTTTTTTTCTTTCTGAGACGCTTGAGACAATTAGCTTGAAATAATTTTACGAATAGGGAATCAACTGTCATGGGTATTTCTTGAAGCAAGATGACTAAATAGGACCTACGGACTATAGCGAAAGTGCGGCTGAAGTTAAGCAAAAAGATTTCCTTCGTAACCCTCTTCCTCCCCTCCGCCTTCACCGAACGGATGAAAACAAACACTAAGGATGGCGGCGCCGGGAGGCTACTGGCAGCTGTGCTTAAGGCTGGACTCATCGCCTGAGCCGTGAGGGGAGCCCTGAGGAGCCCCGGACGACGTGAGTGAGTCAACTCCCGCAGTTCTGAGAGCGAATCACCCGGGCCTGCGAGCCAGGAGATTTCTGAAGTGTGAGGTATCTCTCCGCGACCCGTACTGTCACTGCAGCCGCGGAGCGCTGAGCCCTCAGCCAGGAGGCGCGGCTGTTCGGCCCCAGGCCCTGGCCTCCGTAATGAGAGCCCCGAGCTACTCTCTGTCCCGCAGCCTCGCAGGTACTAACTTTAGAGGGATTATCCGTACCCTCAACCCCAACTTTCAGCGCCCCCGGGTGGGAGGCCATGGATCTGCGGCCCATCGTGTACCTCCCTGATGGAAGCCGAAGCCTAGTAGCCGAGTTTCAGTGCCCTGAGCCCCTGAGCTATTTTTGGGAAGTCGGGTTGGGGTAGGTCAGTGGGCCCTTGATTGTTCCGCCTTACAAAGAGCCCCAGAGCTTTCTTCTCTACTCTTCCAGCTCTCTAGGTCGTAGGGCAGTTTTGGGAGGTAACTTGTGGGGCCGTAACACCGGGGTTGGGCACAAATATGAGTAAGGTAGATTGTCATTCAATCAAGATTTGTTGAATGCCAAATATGTACTTCGCGTGTAGGTGAGGGTGACTGTTGACTAGTGAAAAAAGGGACCCAAGGTTCACGACTATCTTACTGGCAGTGGAACGACTTGTGGAAACCTGCGACCCATTCTCATTAAATAAATCTCTGGGTAAGTGGCCAAGCACCTTCTTGGGTTCATCACTAACTCATTTTAGTTTTCACTTTCTCAGTCAGTTCCCAGCCTGGTCAATACACCCTGGCATTTCACCTTGTTGTTATGTGCCGTCGAGTCGGACCCAACTCATGGCAACCCTTCCTTGGATTTTCGAGGCAGTATCACTACGGAAGTAGATTGTCCAACCTGCCTTCCGAGGAGTGGCTGGGGAGTTTGAACCTCCAGCCTTCTGGTTGGCAGTCAAGTGCCTTAGGCACTACGTTTCCAGAGCTCCTTATGCATTTCACCCTAAGTATTCTTTTCCAAGTATCCCACAGGCCTCCCTCCCTCTCCCCCAAAATAAAATACCTATTTCCCATTGTGTTTAGTTTAAAACTCATCACCGACTTAGGTGGAATTTATTGAACTCTTTCAGTGGGAGATGTGCAATAATACAAATAGTAAGACAACAGACGTTTTCTTTATGCTAGTTAATTTCCAGGCTTTTATGTGTACTTTTATGAGTGTTAGTCCTTTTCATGCTTGGATATTGTGACTCCAACTAAATTGTAAGGTTTTCTTGTTTTTCAGCTCAGCAGAAGCCTTATAATGTTTGTGAAATGGAATCCTTCCTCTTAATACTTTTAATGCACAGTGGAAGATGAATAAGTACTGAAGTAATCCGTCATATTTACTTCTCTGTAATACAGATGCACATAGCTAATTCATGCACTGTTTTCAAATTATATTAACTTAAGATAGCTATGGCAGCTCTTGAGATTTATTTTCATAAAAATTGCAAGCTATTAGACTGTACTTTTACCTAACAGTTCTTATTGTATATTTAATAAGCAATACTTATTATTAAAATTCAAGTAAAAGCTGCAGAACTTTTGCTACCAAACACTCCAAATTATATTATTTTATTTAAGGGCTAAGAATTAGCTGAATACAGTAGATTGCACCATACAGTCATGCTGGCACTGTATTGTATGGAGGTGGGGGCAAGACAAAACTTTCATTGTTTCCATTGCCCTTCCCTTCTTCCCAAGCCCCATTAAAATATAACTTCCTTGACTCAGAGCAGGGTATCTGTAGCCTAAATGCCAAATAAAAACCTAAGACATTAACTTTTGAGTTTTCAAAGATCTAACATCTACAATATGAGTGATTCTCTAGGATAATTTTGAATATACAGAAAATATACCCACTTGAGAATGTATCATACCCAACCCATACGGGGCATTCCTAATACTTCCTTATAGAAAAGACAAATAATTACATTCATTAGCTGTGTGGCCAAGTGATACTTAGATTACAGAATGAAGAATACATAAAAAATATTCCTTAATGTTCAGACTTGCTTTCATTTTTATTTATTATTTTTTTTAATGAAAGAAAACTGTAGACAGATGTTAAAAATGCAGGCTCTTTTGCTGAGTTGCCGTATTGTTTAAGACCTGTTCAGCTTGTATATGTTGACTTGAGATTCTTAAAATATGTGCATTTTAGTGAAAGAAGTTTATTCTTTTTTTTTTTTTTTAAGAAGTTTATTCTTGAACAAAACTTACCTCAACTTTATGTGTGGATGGCTTGAAAGTAGCTTGCAATTTGAGACGTTTTGCTGAGTAAGATGAATTTCCCTAAAGCAGCAAAAAATGCACAAACTACTTGCTTCTCTGTGAAATTGTGGATAAAAATTTCAACTGGAGCCAGGAAAAGTGCAAAGGAGGATATAATCTTCTCTGCCTAGCTGGTATCAAGAAACCTTTCTTAAAAGCTTAAGCTTTAAATCTTTATAAAGGATTTAAAATCCCTGAGGCAATGTAAAATTATTTTTAAATAGTTAATTGCTTTTCACGTGTAGAGTAAATATGGGCCAATTTATTAGAAAAATACTTTGAAAGCCACTATAGGTTATACAGGAAATTTGATGTATTCTCTTTATGTCTTTGATCACAAGAAAAGGGATGAAAACTTGGAAGGGATGTAAGAGATCCTGCATAGAGAGGGAGAACAATGTGGAACAAAACTCAAAATCATTTGGGGGCAAAAAAAAAAAAAAAAGAAGGTGGGGACCAGCTTTGCTGGTCCAATAGAGCCTGGTGGAACCACTGAGACTATGGCCCCTAGCTGCCCTTCAGGTCTGGAATTGAACCCACACCTGTGGTTTCCAGCCAAAGTACAGGCATGTGAGTTAAACATTTACTTCAAGTAGACACACGCCCTGGAGAGAACAATCATGGGAGAAGGAAGGGCTGCTTATGCACAGGGAGACAGCTCAGGGGGCAGGAGTGTATGGAGGGATGGACACTGGGAAGAGGTAACAATGGGGAGGAAGTGGGAGGGGAGCTGTTGCATTGTGGTAAACTGTGGTCAATGACATGAGACAAAGTAATGTGAACTGCTGTATAGAAAGTGAATTTGCTCTGTAAATCTTCACCCACATAAAAATTAAAAAAAAAAAAGAAAAGGGATGAGAATGCAGATCACCACTGCTTAAACAACTCGATGAATACACACACTGAGTGACGGTCAGTTGGTACTTATGGTCTTGTCTTAGTAAAACATTACTGTCATGCATCAATTCCAACTCATGGCAACTCTTAGGACAGAGTAGAACTGCCTCATAGCGTTTTCAAGGCTATAAATCTTTACAGGGACAGACTGCCACATCTTTCTCCCATGGAGTGACTGGGGGGGTTTGAACTGTGAGCTTTAGGTTAGCAGCTGAGTGCTTAATCACTGTGCTACCAGGGCTTCTTTCTTAAAGTAGATCAAGAATTCATAGAAGTGGTCACTTGTTATAAAGTTAAAAATTATTTTACTTTCTTTTTAATGTTAAGAATTTTTTGGTTTTATTTTTCCAGTTTATTTTGTATTGTCCTCAGCTTTTAGGTCATTAGGAGAGAATTAATGTTGAGAAATTCTTAATGAGATTGAGATGTCCTGTTTTAAATATGACCTTAAAAGTGTTTTTACCCCTTAATTACACATGCCAAGAGTTTATTTCCTTTGGAATTTTTAAGAAACCAAATGTTGGCCTTATTTATTCTTTGGACTGGTGTAAAAATTTTTTCCTGGCTAATTAATCTGGGCTTGTTGGGTTTTTTTTTTTTTAAATCTTTATAACCTTATTTGATTTTCTTTTGGTATATTTTCTTTACTTTCTGGTTTCTTAAATAAATTTATTTATTTTAAGTCTTCTTAAATTATAAAGGCATTTAAAACTATACATTTTCCTCTGAGTTTTGCTGTATCTCATTGGTTATTATGTCACATATTCTTCATTTTGTTAATCTCTACGTAATTTATAACTTCGGCTTATGTTTCAATATTTATTGTAAACTTACCTTTTTTTCTTGCTACCTGTTGCTAGTTGACCATGTTGAGCTTTTATGCTTGAACCTAAAACATTTTAAAACTCTGTGTTAAAAATAAGAATACATAGAAATGATTTTTTTCAGTAATTGATATTCACGTTTTTCTAGTATAAAAGGCTGAAGATATTATCTAGAGTCATTTTTTATATAATCTCTTGCCAAATTATTCAGTTGTTCTTTTGAAAATATTTGCCCTTTCTTTCCTTTTGACTGTGCCACCCTAATCCTATTTGTCGTTACTGAAATCCGCTTACTAGCTAGTCTCTCAGCTTCTAGTCCCTTTACCTTATCTTCCTGTCTGTATTCAAGTTAATGTTCCTAAAACTTTACCAAAGAATATGCATTGATTGTGTGCTAATCTATTATTGGAGTCTCTTTTATGTGACTTTCAAGATTCCCTTGTAATCTAACTGGACCATATCTATCCATTTTCTTTACCTTTATACTCCTTTACATTAAAATTCTCAGCTACATTTTTCCTAATTTTGCTTACCTCGTATCTTTTTCTAGAACTCCATGTACACATATGTTAGACTTTTCCCTGTGTCCTCTAATCTCATAGGACTTCATGTCCCAGTTTATACCTGTTGTCATGGTATGATTATTAATAGTATCTCTTTCATTCTCAAAAGCATCCCAAATGTGTATGGTTACTTTGTGCCTCCTGTATTCTTCTCTGTACATCAGAGATATATAATTTAATTTGATCTTGAAAGAGATAATCAGTAATACTACATCAATGTTAAATTCCTGAATTTGATGCAGTTACACTTTGGTCAATGTTGCTGTTTTTAGGAGATACAAGTAACTTCTCAAAGATTCAGCAAAAAGCAAAACTCAAAGGGAAAAATAGAAATGCATATATTACATTATTCAAAGTATAATATATTGAGACAAAAGGACAGAAGTAATGCAGTGTGGCAAAGAATGATACCACGTATCAGATATACACAGTGTATATCTCTAGGAAGTAGATTGCCCACTCTTCCTTCTGAGCAATATCATATAAAATTTTTTCACTGCCCTAAAAATGCCATGTGCTCCACTTTGTTCATCCCTTTCCTTTCTCCCTGATTCTCTGGCAACCACTGATATTTTTGCTAGTTCTTTACCAGTTTTTAGGTTTATTTCTTGGCTTTTGGTTTCC